TGTTCATCCAGCTCTACACCTTGTTATCTATAGCTGCTGTAAAGTGTTTTCATGGCCTAGGTTTTTTATGTAAGTGAGCCATTTTCTTACTTTACTCATTCAAATGTTATCCCACTTAAAGATTTTCTTTAAGAAATGGACATATATACATGAAGCTATAAACACAGGAGCAGCTGACCAACTAATTACAGCAAGAGTTATGAATCTCATTTCATAATGACAGCACTACAGATAAATGTTCCAATGATAAATGGTTGACTTAGCCTTGCATGACACATCTTATTCATCATTCATGTTTGCGGTTTTAGAAGTGAAGCGGCCACAGTAGTTGGGCGATCCACACAGTTACCTGTTGTGAAGAGCTGCGATTAGAAAGTTATACTACTTCCTTGTAAGCAGGGGATATAAAGTGTAATGGTAATCGGATTCTCTTTCCTCTCCTCTGCCCAACCTTTCCATGATGTGGAGGTGCAGGTGTTGGACTGGGGTGGACAAATCAGAAATCACACAACACCAGGTTATAGTCCAACAGGTTTATTTGAAAACACAAGCTTTCGGAGCCTTAGTCCTTCTTTAGGTGTTAGTGGAGTCGAATTGGACCCTCTGGAGGGTCATTGCCCGGGGTTTGACAGGTGTGCTCAAGCCATCAGAGAATGTGTGAATGCCAGATTTATCAACTGCACTCATGTAACCCAGGCACAACGCAATGCCATCCGTGCTCTCATGACCAATCGCAGCATTGTCATCAACCCAGCAGACAAAGGAGGAGCCATTGTGATACAGAATAGAATGGACTACTGCAAGGAAGTGTACCAAAGCTGAACAACCAGGAACGCTACAGACGACTACCTGCCGATCCAACCAAAGAACGCACCAGTCAACTGAACAGACTGGTCAAGACTTTTGATCCAGTCCTTCAGAGTATCCTATGCACTCTCATCCTATGTACTTCCCATCTAGGAGAGTTCTACTGCCTTCCAAAGATGTACAAAGCCAACACACCTGGATGTCCCATCGTATCAGGCAATGGGACCCTATGTGAGAACCTCTCTGGCTATGTTGAGGGTATCTTAAAACCCATTGTACAGGGAACCCCCAGCTTCTGTTGCGACACTGCGGATTTCTTACAGAAACTCAGCATCTACGGACCAGTCGGACCAGGAACATTCCTCATCACAGTAGACTTTTTGGCACTCTGCACCAGCATCCCCCACGACGACAGCATCACCACAACAGCCTTAGTACTCAATACAACTTTTCCAGTGTAACACTTTAAAATTGATTGCAAGTGAGCATTGGAAAGCCGTTTTTGCAGAAGCAGTAGCAGGATCCTAATACACTTAGACAGTGACGACAGGATTTCATGCAAAGGAAATGGCGTTTGAGAATTACTTTGAAGTTTTTATCAGCAGGGTGGGTAAAGGGGAAAAGTGTATTTGGATTTCAAAAATACCTTCAATAGGTACGTACATAGAAAGCTACTCAAGCTTACAACTCATGCGGTTGGGGATGACCTCTTCACGTGGATAGGCTAACTAACTGGAACCAGAGAGTTGGGATCATAAATGGATCATTTTTCAAGTAGATAGTCTGTATTGAGGTGAAATTAATGGTGGTACTTCAATTATTTGTGATCTGTGTTATTGACATGGATGAAGAGACTGACTGCGCTGCAGCCAAATTTGCTGTTACTACAGAGATGGATAGGAAAGCACGTTGTGAGGAGAATACAAAGTATCTGGAACAACATTAAGTTAAGCAAATAAAAGTGGGCAAACGTCTGGAAATTGGTGTATCATGTGGGAAGATGTTAGGTTGTCCTCATATGCTAGAAGAATAGAAATACAAATACTATTTAAATGCACTCTGCACCCTAAGAGATAGTGTGTTCTTGGACATAAATCCCAAAAGATTTCATATTTAAGTACAGTCAGCATTCAATAGGCAGATAGAATGTTGACTTTTATGGCAGTTTGGATGGTATAGAAGTGAAGGGACAGCTTGCTACAACTGTACAGGGGATTAGTTATGCTACACCTAGATAGTATGTACAGTTCTGGTTTCCCAAGAAGAAAAGATATACTTGAATTGGAAGCAATTCCAAGAAAGTTTTCTAACTGATTTCTGTGGTGGTGGGTTGACATTCGAAAAAAGTTGAGTAGTTTGGGCCTTTACTCATTAGAGTTTAGAAGAATGAAAGTTGATCATGTTGACATTATTTAAGCTTCTGAGCAGGCGTGACTGAGTAAATGCTGAAAGGATATTACCCCTCGTGGGAAAAATCTAGAATCTGGGGATACATCTTAAAAGTTATGGATCCCCCATTTAAGACAAAAATGAAGAATTTGTTCCCTCAGAGTTGTTAGCCTTTGAAGTTCTCATTCACAGAGAGCGGTAGAAGGTTGGGCCATTGAATATCTGATCTACAAGAGTTTAAGGATTATGAGGGGCAGGCAAGGAGGTGACATTAAGGCCACAATCAGATTAGCCATCATTTTCTTGATTGTTAGTGCAAACTTGAGCAGCCAGATATCCTATTCTTGTGCTTATGATCTTACAGTCTTATGAGTACCAGATTGTATGTTGTCAGGCTTTGATTTGCATGTGCACATCTCTAATGGGAAACACTACCAAGGGAATTTTGTTAGCCCAATCATTAGCCCAAGTGCATTCTTGACAATAAATTGTAATCTTGATCTTCAAAGTTTGATATCGTATCTTGAGTCTGGGTAATAAGCCGAAGATGTCACTTGTTTTCTTCTTAAACTAATCATTTCTTTGAATATTTGCAACATGCTGTTTGAACCTTGTTTTTTGTTTGGGTAATCTATTTTTGTAAAAAAAGCTAAACTAACTTCTTCACTAACATATTTAAAGTAATTTTACCTAAACCAGTGATTAAGGGAATCTTGTGGAAATATTCATCATCATTAAAAAATACTGATTCCCATTGCTGGTTTTAGATGGTGGTCCTGAACAATCAACTAAGGTTCTGATAAATGGTTCTTCAAAAGCTGGAATCAGAATTAAAGATGCAGGTTTAATAATGGTTGATATTTCCTCCTTGTCTGTCATGTGCAATATGTTTGGCAAAATGTGTCTGCATCTTTATGTAATCTTGACCAGTAAAAACATTAATACTTTAATCTGTGTTTTCCACATACCCAAATGACATGCCATTGTAATTTGGTGAACCACTCAATATTTGATTAAGATACTCAGATGAGATAACTGCCTAATAAAAACTGAAAGAACTGCAGATGCTGTAAATCAGGAACAAAAACAAAGTTGCTGGAAAAGCTCTGCAGGTTTGGCAGCATCTGTGACCCTTTGTCAGAACAGTTCTGAGGAAGGGTCACCAGACCTGAAATGTTAACTCTGACTTTTTCTTCACAGATGCTGCCAGACCTGCTGAGATTTTCCAGCAGCTTTGTTTTTGTTCCTGAGACTACTGCCTGATGGACCACTGCCCATTCCTCATTGACTGATATTTGAGGTGGTTTCCATTTCCTATGTCTTTCAAGTAATAAAAGTTAGGTATTAATTCTGTCACAACTTGTGAGTAGGCAGTTTAGTATAACTCTTTCAATTCAGGATCTGCTTGTTGCATTTCTATTAAAGAAGATGGACTAAACATGCCTGCCTCGTTCTCTTTATCATCATTCTTCTTGGTTAAATTCTCAAAAAATTATATCTCATAGTTAAATTTACAAGTCATCTGCCCCTTTCATAGACTCTTCTTCTTCCTGTCTGTCTCTTTTGGCTTGAAATTTAATCACAATACAGTCTGGTTTTTCCTCGAACATTTCAGTTTCTTTTTCTTCCTCACCCTTGGTCAGGATAGTATTTTTGAAACAGCAAGCTTACCGCCCAAGATGAAATCAATTTCTCCTATAAGAATTTTTCACAACTCCAACTACAACTTCTCCATTTACTACGTCACTGTTTAATCCACCTCTGTATAATGGGAGTGGTTTGTAGCTTTCCTGTTTACTTCCAATTAATATTTTCTATTCCATTAGCCCCTCTGGAAGCCAAATAGTATCATCAGCCAGCATTACTGACTGACTTGATCCAGCGTTCATCAATTTCCTGATATGTTTACCTCTTTGATTTGAAGCGTACAGAAATACCATTCCTTTTGAACTCAGCATCTGCAGTGATCTGATTCTCTTTGTCAATATTTGAAGAAATTTCATGACTGACTGGAATCCTATCTCCTTCCTTAATATATTTTAAAATAAAAGTTCTCTTTGTACTGCTGCTACAGTTTTGATGCCTATTTCCATTCCCATTGCTCCTTTTTCTGGGGATACCTTGGATAGTCCTACTCCAACAATCAGTCCCTCATTTAAAGTCCATCAATTGGATTGGATTGGATATGTCCAGTCTTAATACAATGGAAGCATGTTACTTTCTTTATATTGCTTTTTTGATTTCTCATTTATTACTTTGATATTATTATTTTTGTTTACTAAATCTAGTACCTCTAACGCTCACACATTTGCCATTACTCCAAGTTCCTTGTGGATTTCCATTTGACCATCTCCCCACCTTAACTGTCCATGTGAAATGCTTCTCTGATCTTTGATACTTGACACTCTGCTTCTATAAGTTTGTAGGAAAGCTGTTTCTGAATTCTTCCATAATCATAATTACAAACTCCTTGTCAAAGTTTTTCTATAGCTTTAGTGATCAACACCACCAATTCTTTTCTTTATTCATTCATGCGATGAGGGCTCGCTGGTTAGGCAGCATTTATTGCCCATCCCTAATTACCCAGATGGTAGTTCAGAGTCACCCACATTGCTCTGGGTCTGATACCACATGTAGGCCAGACCAGGTAAGGATGGCAGTTTCCTTTCCTAAAGGACATTAGTGAACCAGATGCGTTTTTCCGACAATTGACAATTGATTCATGGTCATCATTCGAATCTTAATTCTAAGTATTTTGTTAAATTTAAATTCTACAGCACTTATTTTTACCTTGAAAATTCTGAACTGTCTGATTTCTTATAGTGCTTAACTTTAATTGATAAACACAGGTGCAAGTTCATAACATTGACTATTACTGTCGTAACTGTACCTGTCAAAAATTTCTATAATGTGAAGGTTCACATTTAATTTGGTCACTTCATCTATCTAGTTACCTTCTCAAATCAGGTAAAATATCTTCCGTTCCATTCATAGTTTAATTCTAAGCATGAAGCATAGGTTCCTAGGTCAGCAGCTAGGAATACTGCGGTGAGTAACTCACCTCCTGACTCCCAAAGCCTGTCCGCCATCTACAAGGCACTAGTAAGGAGTGTGATGGAATACACCCCACTTGCCTGGATGAGTGCAGCTGCAAAAACACTCAAGAAGCTTGACAC